GATAAGCAGAACAATGGTACTCTTTGCAACAATGTGAAGAATAAATAAATGGACTCAAATGTGTACAAATAGCATATATACTAACATAAAAACCAACAATATGAAAACGTTACAAACACATACAGTATCCTTGGGTAACAATATTATTAACCACTGACTAAGAGTGAAAGTCTGTTTCAGTGATGAATCTTTCTCACGTTCATGCAATTGATGGATTGCTTCTGATTCCTTGGCAAAAATTCTTAATCAGATTCTAGTTTGAATCAATAATAAGTAGGATAGGTGCAATTCTTTAAATGTGTCATTCTAAATAACATACCAACTCTGCTTCTATATAAGATACAATCTTTCTGAAAAGCAGCTAAGTTGGTAATAAGAAGCAATTCATTATAAAGAGTGACAAAGCAAGTCTGAAGAATTGCACCTATCCTAAAGCCATTGCAGGGCGGGGCGGGGCGACACACACTAGTACTTATTGATTCAAGCTGGAATCTGATAAATGTCATCAATCAGTTGCATGAACTTGAGAAACATTCATAATTGAGTGATCTGCAGCTGGTGGCACATATTATTCCTTGTTTGCTGGGATTCTCTATGTTTTTGTAAAATTTTCATGATGTTGATATTTTATATTATAATAATATAGATACTATTTTTAGTATAATAGAATAGTATTTGTATATATTTAATTCTCTTTCTTTATTGTGCATATTTTCCATAGCTAACAGAAGTTCTATGCTATTGTGGATACAAATTTACAAACAGGAATAATGCAAGTTAAGTGCAAGATGTCAAACACTGATACTTTCAGAAGTGCTACATTGTCAGAAATTGCATCGAATGTCAAAAGGACAAATTAGCTTTGGTTTGCCATGCTCAGTTAGCTTGTTATAGACAATACTAAAAAAAAAAAATCAATTAAAGGCACATCCTATGAGATGTGACTTTTTCTTTATTATGCATCAAACGACCATCATGCATTTCTTTGGGAAGAACTCAGAAATGGTAAAGGTAAAGGTAAAGGGACCCCATAACATTTGATCCAGTCGTGGCCGACTCTGGGGTTGCGGCGCTCATCTCGCTTTATTGGCCGAGGGAGCCAGAGTACAGCTTCCAGGTCATGTGGCCAGCATGACTAAGCCGCTTCTGGCGAACCAGAGCAGCTCATGGAAATGCCGTTTACCTTCCCGCCGGAGCGGTACCTATTTATCTACTTGCACTTTGACATGCTTTCGAACTGCTAGGTTGGCAGGAGCAGGGACCGAGCAACGGGAGCTCACCCCATCACGGGGATTCGAACCGCTGACCTTCTGATCGGCAAGCCCTAGGCTCTGTGGTTTAACCCACAGCGCCACCCGCGTCCCGGCAGTACCATTTGGTCCTGAAGTACGATTACCTCAGAAATGGTACTTCAGTGCAAAAGATGTAGGTTGCCACATTCATTAGTCCATTAGCAACCCTTCCTCTGCATATCACAGTAAGGTAATACCTTTATATGAACCAGCTAAATGTCACCAAAAGTATGTGAGTATTGCCACGGTAGTTAAATAAATGCACAAAATAGGAATGGGCAGAATGAACAGAACAAAGAGCCATTTCACACACATATGTTCATAACTTGATAGCTGTAGCATTAATTGATTGATTACATTTTTATCCTGCCTTTCTTCCATGGAATTCAGAGACAAAACACAAGGTTCTCTGTTCTCTTCCACACATTTTATTATCACAACAGACCTGTGATGTAATATTCAGCTGACAGGAAGTGGTTCAAAGGCAGCCAAGAAGCTTCACACTGGCTAGGGAACTGAACTGAGATCGCTTTGGTCCAAGGCCTAAATCTGACATGTAACCTCCATACCACATGTATCGGTATCACTTGGTGATTTGCCATCCCAGATCAGACACACAAATAGCACTCCCATATCATTGACCTTGTCATCATGATTTCTAATACAGCCAGCTCACACATTCAGCAATGAATCAGGAAGTGTTGAGAAATCAATGGCATATTCGAGAATTGGGGGGAACAGTTTTCTGAATGAATATACATTCAACTCTGTGTCCAACCATATTCTTCTCTGTCTGGTTCTTTAAATTTATTTCAGATCTGAACAGTGGACCTGAAAGTCAAGATAATGTATGAAAACAATGCTGAATGACAGTTATCAGGATAATGAGAAGAAATGAAAAACAAAGCATGTCTCTTCCCTCAACCATAGTTTCTGTCAGGAAGTGGCAGCAATCCTTGGGTCATAAGGGGGTTAGTTAGCTGGCTCTAGGACACCATCTTAGACTGAGGCTTTTGGGAAGACTTGATGCTCAGAAAGCACCACATCAGCTTACATGAAACTGGGCTGAGCCATGACACATTGTCAGGTTCTTTGACAAATAAAAATGGAAGAGGCTGATAGACTCTTGAAACTAAGCACCCAGGCTATATCTGGACCTTTGCTCAACACTCCCAAAATCTACGAGGACGACCGTTCTCCCCTATTACATCCCTGGCAAGATAGGACGGGTGGAGTTCCTGAGCATGAAGCTGGCTCTTTGCTGGCTAGTGATCCCCATTTTACAGCATATGCCTCTTTAATACTCCCAAAGGCTCAGAAAGAGTTAATAGCCCCTCAGCCATCCCATGAGGGAGGGAGGGATTGACAGCTAGCGAGCCACTATGGGGTTGCCCTCCTTGCCTGGGGTGCGGCGGGGTGGGCTACACCTATTGGGGATGTTTGTCCTGCTGATTTTATATCTCAACATTATACCCTTCCGATTCAGGAGACCTGGTCCAGGGACGACTTAGTGAGGGGATATGATTCCTTTATAGAGGAGGCCAACACAGGGTTTGGGATCACCACCATTGAAGGGCAAGGGAGGTATGGCTGCGGGTGTAGATACTACAGGCAAAGGGTTTTGAGATGTGGTGATACTTGAACCCCTTCCAATCTATGCCCCATCCCGAGGGACGAAGGTGAGCAGGGATTACCCTCCTCTGTCATTGGTGTTGTACAATGCCAGGTCTATAGGCAATAAAACTGCCACCATGCGAGACTTTTTTTATGTCACTGGGGGTTGACCTGGCTTGTGTGACAGAGACCTGGGTGTGTGAAGGTGAAGTAGTCTCCCTGCATGAGATACCACCCCCAGGTTTCTCTGTCCTCCACCAGTTGCAGACTGTGGGTTGGGTGGGAGGGGTAGCATTGTTAATCCGGGAGGATTGCTCTTTCAGGGCTCTGCCATCACCATCAATCTCCGGCACTGAATGTGTTGGCCTAGATTTGTGTATACAACTGGTCAGTGTTCACAGATGCAATCTCAAGTTGGTGGGTGAGTTGTCTGACTTCTGAATCAACTGCATCCTGCTACCATTTTAGTAATTCCCTGTGCATCAGAAAGTTTCTTCTTTCTTAACTTTCATGGAAGTCCACACAAAGTTTTAGGACTGGAAGGTTTGCAGTGCTATTGAAGAGTTTCTGTTCCTGGGCAATGGGAAGTCAATGTACTTAGTTTTCAAGGAATCAGGATTTTTTTTTTTTTAATGCAACACTTACCATCGAAGAGCTGCTTTTATATAAATCTCATTTCCCAACATTAACATAGTATTTTATTGCAGGATTGTCATGGATGATTAGTTAAAAGGCTTCCATGATGAATAGCACTGAGACTGCAAATTCTTTATGTTCCTCTGGTTTATTAAATGCATGTACTTTGAGGTTCTCTGGTGCATTCTACAAACACTATTGTTTGGGTGAGAAAAGTCTCCTTGGAAAAACCCAAAAAAGGTCCAGTCTTTCAAAGACTTGTGTTTGGTAACTTAATTTCCATCCCAATTTCTTTCTTTATGACAGGATTTGAGATAGCATTCCAACACCAAATGGTATTTGAATATGAAAGGTATACCTTTGTCCTGAATATTCATACCAAAATTCACTCCAATATCTCAATCTTCAGTGAAGATTTCATGTTACAAACAATGATACACACAAATGGAATGCCAAAAAGTTATACCAATGGCTTATTTCACTTGGCTGATGATTATCCAATGATAAATCCCTATATTTCCCTAAGTATTGAGAATTGTAAAAAGAAAAAGAAAAAGCAATATTAGCAAAGATGGAATTGTCAAGAGAGAGAGGATCACAGAATCATAGCGAGCTGACTAAGAATTTGATTTTCTGAAATTTTCTGAAAATCTTGATGTCAAACTTATCTGCATGGTTCCCCCCACCCCAATTTCTCTCTTGCTCCAGAATCTCGACAAAATGAGCCATCAGATTCATCTAAAAATATTAACAATTTGCTGACCAGACTAAATTATGAGACTCTCTCAAAGCAACCGGGTGTGAATCTCTTGCTACTACAACTCCTCTACACTTATTAAAGGATGGGGCGTGGCACAGATGCCAAATGTAGCCATGCCAACTTTGGTCTCTCACTGGCAAAGCTGCTGCACAGTGTCTGGAATGCCTCACCCCAAACCTCATACCCCATTCCCTTAAAACCATTCCCCACATTCATTGACAGGGACACAATATGTTCCTGTATGTTCAATGACTGTGAAATCCAGGATTTGCAATTAAAATTACTCAAGATGCTGCTTTCCCTCTACCAAAGTAGATTTGAGAGGCAAGCACAGGGATTACAATGTATTTAAACAGCTTGCTGTGCTACACACAAATCATTTAAAATATTATTCTGTAAGTTTAAAAAGAGCAGATCCAGGCCCGTCTATTCTTGCAATTTTTTTTCTGCATCCTAAACCATATTATATAGGATTATTCATATCATTCCTGTCAAGTTCTTGTCTCAATTTAGTAAATATTTATGTAGTATTTAGCACCCCCATTATTTGTTATCTTCTTTTACCTCTGAAATCCACTCTTGCCCATCAGACAGGGTTATTTTTAAACCATTTTGGCTTCTCTATTCTGATTTTAAAAAGCACAAAAACTTCATTCATTTTCTGGAGACCTGTTTCTTTCTGACTTTTCCATTAGTTGACTTCTCCAGATAATGTGGTCATACGATCACTGTGGGAAGAAGTGCTGCACACAGTGATCGTATGACCACATTACCTGGAGAAGTCAACTAATCACTGTGTGCAGCACTTCTTCCCACCTCCGACAGCTGTTCCTTTTCAATAATTTGAGGAGCAGGACGAATCTGGAACATTGTAGTGACATTGTAGCTTCATGAGTGACATGAAGCTTGACCTCACAATTACTTGCTGAAGAGTCATAATAACATATGGTATTCCCCCATGACTCTCCAACATGCAATCCCACCCCCCAGGAGTATTTTGCATGCAGAAATTAACTTTGACAAGAAGCAGTGGCTATCATCATCATCATCTTATCTTATGACTTTTCAAGAGCAGATCTGGAACACAGAATGAAGAGCAGAATTTCACCACCTGCAACCTTTGCATCACTTTCAATAGCCAGGGGTTCAGAGAAGCTTCACACAGTCAGTGAAATGTTATGGCCTCTTTGAAGTCCAAATGCACACTAATTAACCATCCTGGTCAGCTGGACCTGTAGCAAAGAGCAAGCACTTGCATCCATTCAGTGAATGTCTGCGGCCTAAATTTGTAATCCTATAAACACTTGCCTAGGAGCAAGTGCCATTGAACTAAATGAGACTCTTTACCAAGTAAGCTTGCAGAACAAGAATTAGTGCAGCTGATGGATATTTATTTATTTACTCGAATAATGCCTTCAGCCCGGATGTGTCCATTTGGTGCTTTGATATGCAAAAACAGCACTTTTACAAGTTTATTCCACATTCAAGTCAAGAATGCTTCTTGCAAGATCAGATTCCCTAGAGAGAAAGAAAGAAAATGGCATCTTCTAAATCATTTGCTGTAAAAAAAGTAATTCCAGGTTATAGGATGCGCATTAAAGCCAGGTGAGGGAGAGTAATTTACTTGAAGTTTATTTTTGCAGCTTCAGGTTGTAAAATGAGCTGGTGGTTTTAAGTGGAATGTGTGGCAGTGTTGCTGAATATGCAAACACCAGCCGAGTGTCCTAAGTATAGGAAGCTGGCAGAACTTATGGCAGCTGAAGTTCCACCCACATAAATTACCCCTGAGCAGCAGAAGAATTGTGTGCACCATGTCTGCATATGCCACAAATAGTATGAACTGTAGTGGGGGAAAAAAATGTAGCTGCTAACCTTAGTAGGTGTATCTGGACACCTCTTAAGGTATAGTAACCAATGTTTGTATTATGATTCCTTAGATCTAGGATATATATTCATTTCACCACCCCCAGAAGTGAGAGAAATGGTGGCCCAGGAGAAGGGCTTCTCTGTGACCGCTCCTAAATTGTGAAACCTCCCTTCCGCAGAGGTGTGTCTAGCATCTTTCCCTTTCCCTGGATGCTGTAGATCGGGTTTAGCAACCTTTTTCAGCCTTGGGCTAGTCCACCGTCCCTCAGACCTTGTGGGGGACCGGCAAGGGCTCTGCCCTTGCCCCACTGCTTTCCCCAGGAAAACCCGCTCTTTACTGATAAGTCAATCTGGAGAAAACCCAATCTGGAGCGAAAGTCAGTCTGGAGAAAACCCAATTGACATTTGCTCCAGTGCAGCAGTAAAGAACTGGTTTCTCCAGGGGGGAGCTGCAGGGCAAGGGCAAGTCTGGGTGTCACTGCCTATCTGGCCCAATAGTTAGAGCATCACAGTGTGCAAGATAATTGTGGTATTAATGCAGATCTCATAAAGCCTATTCATTTTGGCTTCCCAATTAGGCTGCTCTACATGTTATACACCAGGGGTCAGCACACTTTTCCAGCAGGGGGCCGGTCCACCGTCTCTCAGACCTTGTGGGGGGCCGGACTATATTTTTTAAAAATAATAATGAACGAATTCCTATGCCCCACGAATAACCCAGAGATGCATTTTAAATAAAAGCACACATTCTACTCATGTGAAAACACGCTGATTCCCGGATCGTACACGGGCCGGACTGAGAAGGCGAATGGGCCGCATCCGGCCCCCAGATCTTAGGTTGCCTACCCCTGCTGTAGATGCACCTCATTACCTTGGCCTTAAGGCATTTTGTTTTATGGGGCCCACTGTTGTAACTGCCCTGGGTAACTTATGGTGAAGAGCGGGTAAGAAATCTTACATGTGTGTAAATAATAATAAAAAACGCCAAATGGGCTAAAATAGCACATAATGTTCAGCACTTTTTTCACTTTGTACTTCTCCCACCTTGATTCTTGTTCTTTTTCATTCATTGATCTGCTTACCCAGATAAAAGACCTTTCGATGGGTACTAAATAATACACTCTCTTGAACTTCCGGCTGACAGCTTCTAGAGGGTAAGTGCTTTCATCCAAAGGAAGGGTCCTTTCCATTTGACGCACACCCCAAGAACTAATTAAACACTCGTCATCTCTGCGCTGTGTTTTGGTGAGTGACACCAGATGCGTTATCTGCTCACAGACAAAATTAAGAGAATAAAATGCCTTTGCAAGAGTGGTCCGAAGGCCATCATTGTCTAATAAAAGATTTGAAACTATGTGGAATTGGAAAAGAAATGATACATTCTGAAGCTATTTTCATCTCATTAGCTCGAGTCAAAAAGAATAAAAGCAAATGTAGTTTAGAAGATTAGCGGAGAAAACTGATGTGCAGTGAAAGAGGATGGCAAGCACCTTTTCCCTGGGCCTGTTTAAGCAGAGAGGCTGTAAAACTGTCATTCCAACTCTGGCTTCAGACATTCTAACAAGTGCCGGGAGCTGCACTTCCTGCTTTTGCACTTCTTCCAAAACGTTTGGAAGGGGAGCTTTCACAGCTTTCCTGGGGAAGATAATATAGTATCTCATTTAATAATAAAAACAGGAAGCAGCACTCACTTGCATTTCCTGTTTCAGTATGACTAAGAGTATGGAAGTGAGAGCTGGACCATAAAGAAGTCTGATCGCCGAAGAATTGATGCTTTTGAATTATGGTGCTGGAGGAGATTCTTGAGAGTCCCATGGACTGCAAGAAGATCAAACCTATCCATTCTGAAGGAAATCAACCCTGAGTGCTCACTGGAAGGACAGATTCTGAAGCTGAGGCTCCAATACTCTGGCCACCTCATGAGAAGAGAAGACTCCCTGGAAAAGACCCTGGTGTTGGGAAAGATTGAGGGCACAAGGAGAAGAGGACGACAGAGGATGAGATGGTTGGACAGTGTTCTTGAAGCTACCAGTATGAGTTTGACCAAACTGCGGGAGGCAGTGGAGGACAGGAGTGTCTGGCATGCTCTGGTCCATGGGGTCACGAGGAGTCAGACACGACTAAACAACAACAAGAGTATCTAAGGCTGCTCCAAGAATTGACCTTTTAAAATTCTAAATTCTAAGTAACAATATTCTCATTTCTCCATACTCTGCTATGTTTTTTTGCAGACACTGTAGCACAGTGAATAATGAGTAGAATGGTAAACACAGCATAGCTGAACACCCTAGAAGTAGGAAGCATGCACATCTGATTACCTGGCTTCCCATTTGTGGAGTGCTTTGCCCAAGGAAGCACACTAGGCACCATCCTTGTCAGTTTTTGGCTATTAATTTTCATTGTACCTTGCTATGATTCTGGCCTCTTTTGTGGTGCTCATCTTTTAGCAGGGTGCGGATAGGTTTGTGCATGCAATACATATGCTCCCTTTTGGTGAGTCCCACATCTTTCCCATGAGTGAGATGCAATGCCACAATTACATGTGTAAACAGTGGCATGAAAGATCATGGAAACAGAAGGCTGGCCATGCACTAATAATAATAATAATAAAAATAAAATAAAATAAAATAAAATAATTTATATCCCTCCCTCCCCAGCCGAAGCCGGGCTCAGAGTGGCTAACAACAATAAAAGTAACACTGCATTCTAAAATCAATTCATTTTAAAATCAGTTTAAAATCAAATTAATGGCAACCATTGGGCTAGAGTTCTGTGAGAATTACCAAAGGAGGGGGTCAGACTGTGCCCTGGCCAAATGCCTGGTTGAACAACTCTGTCTTGCAGGCCCTGCGGAAAGATGTCAAGTCCCACAGGTCCCTTGTGACAAGAGCGTTCCACCAGATCAGGGCCACAGCTCTGGTTGAGGCCAGCCTAAATGGACTACAACTCCATCTTTTTCAGTTAAAAATGTGGAATGCTTATAAGCTTCTGAAGCTCTGCCTCCCCCTCCTTTTTATTTTTAAAGATGCATATATCTATAAAGGCTTCTTTTTAGTACTATCTTGAAACAACAAAAAGGTGTCATTCTGTTGACCTGCCAGCGGAATCTTGGGCTTTGTTGCATGGCTCACTTAACAGTCACAAGCTCTCCCCCAAAGAGTTAGGCCTCTTAAATTTGCAAAGGAGTAAAGACTGACCCTTCCAGTGACAATGATTGCCTGCTCTTCTGAGATAACTGAGACAAGTGATTGAGTAACAGAGGCCAGGGCAGAGAATCAATTCTGTGCTAATGAGCATACGAGGCTATCAGGAAAGCATATAGCATGCAAGATTGGTTAGGTTAAAGGCAACATTCATCTGCTGACAAAGAAAAAGGGTACTTTTGACCCTGTAAAATGCTTGATCTGCTGTGCATAGATAAAAGTTGTTTGGCAGGGTTTCATTCCTCTTCCAAATGCCAGTGGCTTGATGCTGCGAGCTGCTGCACCAGCAAATGAGAGTATAAACAAGTAACTGGGCATTTTTACCTTTCTGCCCAGAGCTTCATGGGTTTTTCTTTGTTGACCAGTATGCAAAGAGAAGCTCTGTCTCTACTCCACTCCCATTACACTGGGCTTGTGATATTGTGAGGACTGGACGACTGTTTGTATAGGGGTCTCTGCACATGGCTGTTTTGCCACATGGATAGGGAGAAATTCAAAGATAACCTGCAGTGACGTGTTTTCTGTGTTTTGGGAACCTGTTCCTATGTTTTTGTAGTGTACCTGAGAAGAAAGATGCTGCAAGATTTGAGATGCAATAGAAGTTTATTAGTCTTGACTCATGACCATTATGTATTGGGACTCTCTTGTGCTCCTGGCATGATGGACTACTGCTAGCTACCTCATTGGCTAGCATTGGCTGTCCCCATTCCAGGA